CTGCGGTGGCACGGAATGTTAGCTAGTTTATTATTGAACAGTTTGCAATAGTTGGAAATAGACTGTACTGATTTGATAAGCAATGTTAAATAGTGTTGTGAAGTTACATCGATATATTTTGTTGACTTGTCATGTCATGAAGAAGACTTGACAAATTTAATTATTGTATACGAGTAACTAAGCTACCAATGAATGCTGCTTCATTCTTTTAGTTTCCAGTTTTTAGTAAGAAATGTAACTTAAAATATTAAAAATATACATGCAACATCATTATAACCACCGACCGTAGCCTAGAGAATGTAGAATTTAAATTGACACTGTCTCATACAACCCTTGCACTTCCACATAAATACATTTACTGGTACTTGCTCCTTGATTACAGGAGCTCTTTCTATTCTATAGTATCGTGTATTTTTATTTGTCTAAAATTATGAGTTCCCATCTCTATCGTAGTGATGTGTATTTAAAGTATGAGGCATTGTCGATTGTCGATGATTATTGAACCGCAACCGCGGCAAGGTCGCACCGCTCACGTAACGTTTCCGCAACCCGATACGATACCCGATGTGTGACTGCTCTAATGCAATACTGCATCGTATAACCAGTTTAAACTGGTCTATCGAAATTAATTCAAATATAAAGGCGTCAGAAAGTTCAAAGCTTTTAGTGACAATGTTTACCTATTTATTTTAGGTTGAAGTTTTTAATCTTTTTTTTATTATTTATTTTTGAATATAAATATGACAGATTTATGATACACATTGTGGTTGCTATTTTTTTTTTGTAATAAATTGGTAATAAAACACTAATATGCTACATGTTTCAAAGGACCATAGTAAGTTTAGGCTCAAGTGTATTTGATATTAGAACGTTACTTCTAAATACAATTCATAGAAGGTAATAATCTAATGTTTCCTTAATATACTTGATATTATTTATGTATACGGAACGGTCGTAGGTTTTCGAACGTTGTTTGCTTCGCCTTTGTTCCCTTCGAACATAAAACAGTTAAGTTATGTGTTATTATACTTGGTGTCGAATAGTTCCGAGTTGCGATCGACGTTTTATTACTGCTAGTATTTTATGAGTCACGTTTGAACTACACTTAAATACTGCGAGTGACAGAGCGTACACAAGGTGATTCATTTTATTACAAATATTAAGTTCTTTGTACTGTTAAAAAAACACCATGTATATAATAATTAAAATATTTTCATTAAATTCGCCATTATCTCCATCTAATAATAGACAATCTATAGCAATTGATAACTTTCACTGATGAAAAAAATCTAAAGAATGAATGTATGGGAAAAATAAAACAAAGCGTTTCCATACAATTATAATCTTTTACTGTCACGCGAACATCTTGTAATGTTTAGTAACAAGCTGTGTAACCTTAACACCGGTACAGCGCACGTGCTATCAGCTTATACCTAATCCGCTAATCCGACCCGGAAAAAACTAATAACCATTGTATTCCAATTGTTTGCATCGAGTTTAACGTTTGTTTGAGCGAATTATCGTCCGCGCAAGCACAGGGTGTTGCCGTTTTAATAACGTAATCAGATTTCCTCACCTCATTCCGTCGCCAGCGGTCCGATCGGATTCATCACAATCGTGTGCTCGCAACAGTAATGGACCGTACGCGGACAATATAAGATCCGTTTGAACGGGATAATTGATTTGGAGTATCCTAAAGTGGGGTTCACGAGCTGACGTATATTCCACGCCTCGGGTGGTCCGTTTTACACGTAGCTATACACTTCACAGCTGCACACGACTGGTGAGTGAAACATAAGATAAGCTCAGCAATTTGTCCGGGCTGTGCTCTCCAAGTTTTGAACCCGCACCCTCGGCTAGAATTACGTCACATCCCCCCCTTCCTATTCAGCTCCTCCACTTTGGATTTTAAAGCGTAAATTATTTGCTTGCTTTTGATAACTCGCTTGCTGCGATATCTGAATAGATTTCCAGAAAACAACATTTAAAGAGAAAAAGATTTTTCTCTTTAAATGTTGTTTTGTTTTTTTAAACGCGATTTTTGAAGTGTTATTACTGTTTGCAATATAAAATCTGGAAAAACTATAAACTGTCCGAGTAATTTCAATAAGGTTGTTCTTGAGACAACTGCTTTTGGTGATGCACGAAACGACCGCATGCATGATGAATGAATTCTCATTATTTTTTAATTTCAACTTGTATTTTGAAGCGTTGTTTTTACCTTTGTAATTCCAAATACGGATATGAATAAATGCGGAATTAAAACAACCTTCATAGCCATAATCACATCATTTTGTATTATTCATAAAAGTATTTTTTCGTAGTAATTAACGGAATTATTGTATTTTACTGTCGTTAGCTCGGTTGTTGTAATGTAATAAACTGAGTATAGAAAACCCTAAGTTCAATTTTAAACAGAGGCAAATTTTCAACCAACAATGTAAGCTGGTCAAAGATTGCTTCCTATCTACACGACTACGGAGCGTTATTGTAATCTTATTACGGCATGCATTGTATCGAATTAGGTTATGCGAGGTCGAGTGGGTTTATCTATGATAGTGCATACATGCAACATATACTGCAATTTTCAAGTTGTCTTCATCCATAATTCAGATATTGTAAACATTTTTCAATGTATACTTCCATAAACCGATAATAGTGACGGAATAAGCTAAGTAAAGTAGTGTTAAAATAAATGTGTATTTTGTGTGAGTAAAATGTAATACAATTTATGACACTAAACAGCTTACAAAACAAGAATATCAAACAAAATGGTATAGTTATAAATAAATACGCTTAAAATTTTGTTTACAAAACGTAATTTCACCTTAATCCGAACACTATTAATTTTATAATCATTCAATAATTAAAAATTCATAAGACAAAGGTAACGTGGAAAATGTGCAATACCCCTGAAAGCAGAATACGAGCTCCGGTTGATTACATTTAAATAATAAATGCAGTATCCACAAGATAGCTGTGTTTGTGTAGTATCGTCGATTGTTTACATACAGAGATAACAAAAAATCTAGGAGATACAACGACTGGGTAAATTTGATTGTAATGGCTTAGTGTAAGACAATTGTTTGCTTTAGATTGTGTACGTTATTCCTAGTTGCTATGAAGAGGTGATAAATTATAATAAGTTGGCAGCAACTTACGTTCTCTTTCCCATATTAGGATTTTTATCCAAAATATTTACCCTCTAAGTTTAATGGCGTGAAAATGTATAACCTAAAGTGTGACATAAGTGTAGGGCTTTTTATTAAAAAAAAAGAATTATTAAAAAATATGCTGTAATTGCTGACATCTTAGGCAACAAAGAAGTGTGTGTTTACGCTTTATTATAATAGTATAGATTTAGTTTCAATAACTAATCTTTGTAATATTAGTATCATTTTACATTCGTTTCGTATTTCGTCAGAGGAAACGCTGCCAGATCTGTAACAATAACAATTGCTAATGCTCTGTTTACTACCCCGATGTTTTGACTACCCAATGGATTCTGTAAGGAGATATCTTTGTTGTTATCAAGCTTTGTTAGCTCGTGGTGTAATATTCTGATAAATAAAGCAAAAAAATAAGAGAAGTTGCTCGAAATAATTTAATCTATATCTAGACTTCTATACTTATATTATAAAGTGGAAAGATTTGTATTTATGTATGTATTGGAATAACTCAAAAACTACTTAACCGATTTTAAAATTCTTTCACTGTTAGAAAGGTATTTTTTCTGTGAGTAACATACGCTATATTTTTATTATTTAATTTTACGCGAATGAAGTCGCGAGTATCAGCTAGTAATTAAATAAAAGAAATAAGAAGCTCGATTGATTTCATCTCTATCATACTTCACATAAGGATACAAAATTCAAAATCTTATAGGAATATCGGTATTTTTAAGTTACGTTATGAAAATATTCCATCCCGTGGATGTACACAAATTCAATAAACTTGCCAAAATGAAAACCGGGTCGCGTTCACCGGTTCAATTGAATTATGGGAATTTCCTTTTATATCGCACTCGATGATTCATGTGACTTTATTTCGCGCAATTGATTTATTTAACAGGAAACAATATGTGAATTTAAACAATATAACAAGCGTAGTTGTTTTGTTGCACACGGAAATGTTTAGATAATTATTGCGGTTGTTTTACGACACACATTTACTATGTGGATGTTCTTTTCGTTTCCAACTTGTAAATTCTTATCATATTCAGTAAATTAATATTACCCACATGTTGTTTAAGAAATACGTTTAACTAACTAAAAGTAACTATTCATTTATTTACAACTTTATTGTATAAATATTATAAATATCTCGGAGCAAGTTTGTTCGTTTAACAACAATAAGGAAGTGATTTAATTGTTCATATATTGATCTTATTTATAACCTAAAGCCGCATATTATGTGTGTAACGATCACTTTGTCCGATTCTGTATTTTATGGCCACTTATCTCCTCTTTATACACAGCTATTAATTTCATCTGTTTCGATTTTATGGACGAGGGAGTGGTTAATGCATTCCCCTTCGATAAATTCGCATTCCAAATTGCATTCATAAAGGATATTGCTTTATACAACGTAATATGAAAGATAGAGTTTGGAACTACTTGAAAGCTATATCTTTGAGTGTTTCTAAGTGTTTGTTATGTGTATTTTATTTTAATTATATTTATAACTAGCTGTTTCTCGCGACTTCGTCCACGTGAAATTTAAAAATGTAGCCTATGTTACTCACTGATAACGTAGTTGTTTTGGTGAAAACAATTTTGAAATCGGCCCAGTAGTTTTTACGTGAATCGAATCGACAAAAGTTTTTCTTCTTTATAATATTAGTATAGATTTTACGTGTATATAAAATATGTTTTTACCTTTTGGAAAAGTATATTACCGTTGTCTAAGATTATAGTCTTATAAGGCTATTGTATAATATTGTTGTTTTTTTAAGTATGTCTATGTATTAGTTAATTAATTTTATTTGTATGTTGTTATAGCAACAAAAGACGAGTCGGAGTGCGAGAGCGGTGAAGGTGGGTGCCGCGGCCGGCAGCAGAACGGTGGCGCGCGCGGAAAGCTGCCCTACAACGGGTACTCGGAAGAGTGTCTCGACCGCCTCGAACCCAACGGCAATATACCTCACGATAAGGACTCACATTATGGTCAGTATCTCTTTCACTTTGCTACCATCTATAACGTGTAAATGATTAGAATGCTGATTAGATGATTAATTATCTGTCATTAATGTCATAAATAAAAGGAGATACGGTCCTTGTCATTGAAGCATTCTCTTGTCTTCTCAATACTGGCACAAGTTTATGTGTCACTTCACCATTATTAATCAATAGTTTACTACTGTAAAATTATCTTTGTGGTGGTAGGTGGTGATGGTGTCGCTGGGGTGATGAGTGTTGGTGCAGATTTTAAATGATGCGACCGTTATTCTTCAACCAATTTATTCACACCAAAAACACTTAATCCACAACACAATATATATAATAAAAAGAAGTAGAAGGAGAGTGCAACACGTTATAAGTAGAAGAAGAGAAGAAACACAATAATAATAAGCTGGGATAACAAGAGCGATAATTAACAGTGGTCAGCGCGGGCACAGTTTGAAAGCGACTGTTAATTAACCGCGCGCGCCGCTCGGTCAATGACCCCGGTCAGCTGTGCAGTCGCGAATTTAAATGCACCAATGACAGGTCACAAAAATAGATGCGTTGCACTATATTTCGACCACTCGTCGTGCACCGTGTTTAGATGTGTGAGTGATTGTACGTGTTATGTAAGTGTGTATGTGTGCTGTGTATGAATGTCAAGTGTAACTGTGGAGTGTTTTCGTAAAATGTATCAGGTTCCCTACATCTTTTTTAATAACAAGTAACTTTTGTTCATAAATTAAATTGAAGTTAAGTGTATCGTGAAAATGTTTTCTATTTAATTATTCATTTGATCTGCGTATTTGATCTCTGCTTCCACAAATCTGGCTAACAGACAAAATAAATCTAAAAGAAATTTAACTTTGAAGCGTTTATCCAATCGAAATGATTCTATCCAATCTTAGCTACGTCTGCGATTATCTGGGGCATTGGGATTCAAGAGTGGCCATTAAACCGGCCACATTCGCCTCGCTAAATCTGTTATAGCCTAGCCTAGTTGGTCAGTTTTCGACGTGAGATTTAGTTACGAATGATTTAGATTTCATTTAAATCAAATTCAACTATAATTTAGCCAATCTTATTGATGTTGTGCAATGCGAAATGACATGTATTTTATCGTAATAGCTGGGAACACCACTAGTATTGCAACATTAAGATTTCTAATGTTAGATAAATGTTTATTAAAATAACAAATACTATAACCACAATTGCAAATGTACCTTTTGAATTTGCCTTATCAAATATCACACTTTTATATTACAGTTATAAATAACTAGCTTTCGTCCGCGACTCCGTCCGCATGGAATTAAATAAAGCAAAAGCATATATCCTATTTTTTCTTCCAGACTATGGTCTGCATCTATCCCAAATTACATCCAGTTCCTTACAACCCTTTAGGCTATAAATTCGCACATTTAAATTTTTTGTAAGATTTTATGCTTCTAAAGTCTTGTTTTGAAGCTGATTTCGCTTTTATACTAAGGGTTCATCGTATAGCGCAGTCGCGTGAGTGCATAATTAAGTTATCTCCGCCTCCAGATATAAACAAACCTACGTCTCACGTTCGTAATTAGTTATACGCATGAATATCATGCCGAACAGATGTGTGTGACTTGCAACGTACGTGTGTGACAGGTATTACCTTACGTGTCTGTCTATCAATTCTGTAATATTACAGTTTGCTGTCAAAGTCGGTAATTTAGTTGTTAATTCACGCGTAATTCGTGGTCTATTAACTTTTAAATTTCGCAAAAGTGTTTACTGCTGCTGATTAAGTTTGTGTTTTCATAAACAAGGGTAATGTAATCATTTGTTTGGCTTTTTTTATAGGCGGCTTTATGCCGTACTCTTGTTCCCTCTAAACATATTTTGGGTCAGGGATCGGGTGTATAATTCTTTATTCGTTCAAATGTTAAAACTTAAATTTACAGTATGTCTAAAATCACAGACTATATCACATTGCAAAATATCTAATTCTAATTTTAAACTTTTTTTTATTATGTAGTGTTATTTGTTACATGATGTAAGGACATTTAAGTTTTATTTGTCTACTAACTGATTCCATGCGGCTTCATCCGCGTGAAGTTATAAAAACTTTATTTTATTGTTTACATTTATCAATTACAAATGTCAAAATGACATGACATGATGACAGCCTTGCTTCCTTGATGTTGGCCGCAACTTATGGTCTCTTTCCCACATTAGGATTTTTATCCAAAATATTTACCCCCTAAGTTTAATGGCGTTAAAATATATAACCTAAAGCGTGACGCAAGTGTAGGGCTTTTTATTAAAAGAAAGTATTATTCAAAAATATACTGTAATTGCTGACATCTTAGGCAACAAAGAAGTGTGTGTTTACGCTGTATTATAATAGTATAGATTCCCGGGTTCTTAGACAGAAATAGGAAAATAAAGTGAAACACTTGAAGTACAGTTATAAAAGTGCTTGTTTACTTTGTAAATCAAGTTCATGATCGCTTCACTGGCCTTGCAGTAACTTAGTTTGGTTACATAATGTAAACATAACATTCCTCGAGACGTTTGCTATATTTGGTGAAAGTGTTGACGATGGAAGCGACTTACTTGACATTTAAAAGGTTACGCACGTTACGTATACATTTATTAAAAGTGCTAATATCGGGCTAAAGTATTAATTTAATTACAATGATAAATATATGACGGTTAAATACATAACCTAGAGGTAGACAGGCATTGAAGATTAAAGCATTAACTGTCATACTCAGAGTCGTTTAAGGGTTATAAAGAGTGTCACAATCTTACTAATGTGGATGCGAAAATTTAGATGTATGGACGGATGGAGGTCCGTTAGATTGTAGCTTAGGTGAGGATTTCAATGAAATTTGGCACAGTTGGAATGAAATTTGGATAGCATAGTCTGAAAGAACACATGGTACTCACTATTGTTTATTTTATTCCACGCGGAAGGAGTCGCGGGCGAAAGCTAACATTTTATAATCGTATGTTCATGAATGCATGTGAAGTCATCTAGTTATATTTATGCATAGGCCGTAACTGAAACATTACTCCACGCTCCACCTCTAGAAAGGTGTGCCTTTAAACCACGCAATGAAAAAAGTATATCCATCGTTCAAGTATATCGAAGTTTGATAAAATAAACAGACCGCACTTTTATAGTTTACATCCAAACTTGTGTTTGATAAATGCATTGGCCGTCCAAACATCGGCCGATAGACATGTGGGATTAAATCCGTTTTCCACTAAGAATCTAGCCGAGCGCGACTGCTGTTCCTAAGTAGTTGTGGCCGCGTCTGCTGGAAATTGTATCAGTCCCATTGCGATTAATCGCTTAGAGGAAAAGGGTCTTATAAGACAGTACACAGTTTGACATGTGTAAATATACATCCAGATAAATATTTATGAACCAATCGGGACGCGTGCTCGCCCAATTTCAAACGATCGTTTGTTACTTTTTAGTGCAGTCAACGTTTTGATGGTTTTAGTTTATAGTCTCGGAAAGTTTGGGATAGTAAAGTTACTGATGCATCACACAAATTGAACAGCAATTGAATACTTCGTTTGCAAACCGAATCAAAATTCTTTGCCATTAAAATATATAAGGAACCTTTGCTGAATTTAAAATACACAATAATTGATAGTTAAATTAAATGAGTAAAGAGTTTTACGACCGAAAACCAAATTAAATTTGTAATGTCGTTTTAAATGATAAGACCACAATTAAACTCTAAATTGTAAGCTATGCTTATAGCAGAGTTTTCAAGTTACGTTTCAGTATACAACCGTTAGTAGCGTATTTCGAAACAGATGTTTATATTTGTATAGATATTTCTTTCACAAAAATGTTAGTCATCTTATTTACATTTCCTATGTTTTTATAAACATTTGTGAGTAACTCTTGTAGGTTAAGAATGTAAACAAGTTTTGTTAGTACCGGGGGGAATCTTGAACACTGAATAAATAAACAAAGAATATTGGGTCGTATTTATCTTTAGTTGGACAGCGCTTTACATACGAACCAGCCTTTGGGAGCACTCTTCACATGTTTACGGGGCTCTATTCGCCTCACCTTTATTTAATACTACACTAAGTTTTACTAAAACTTGTATAAGTAATGTAACCAAGTTGGGATCGTAGCAGGCAATAAAGTTAGTGTTTTCCTATATAATGTGGATTACTTATTTTGTAAGGAAGGTTTTATGGCTTTAAATACTTATGATGACATGAATTTAAACGTAAGCAAATTTACAAGATGATCTTTTTACAAGCCTAGTTAGTTGTGAGTGTGGAAGGATGCACCGGTAGAGGTAGCCTTAGAAAGAGATGGATGGATTCCGTGAAAGGTGGCATCATCAAGAAGGGAGTGATAACTGAGATGACGTATGATAAAGTTATCTGAAGGACAAAAATCTATTACGCCAACCCTACGGGAGTAGGATAAGGAGAAAGATGATGATGATCTAAGTACAATGTCATTATTACGCACTTATTATGAACTTGTTATATAACAATTTAAAACACAATGTATCGGTGACTTACAAAGCATGATGTAATAATGCACTTATTGTAACTGGATTATCTTACGCTATAACAAGTCTTCCGTGAAGAGACTTTACAACATATTGTTATCTCTGTTATTTCAAAGGGAAATGAGCGGGATGTTAAATAATGTTATTGTATTGGCAATGAAAACTTAATTACTTGAATAACGATAAAGTAGTAAGCGAAATTTCTTCGTTTTTCAATATGACAAAACCATCAATATTTTATGCTCTATGTTATTTTTTTATACAGAACGTTGCCGATAAAAGCCCCTTTGATAAATAAACTATGACGTGCCCTTTTAACAATTTATTGATTGGTCTGCGGCGTAAAATTCAGCTCGTGAAAATGTAATAGGCGTACCGTTACTCTTGTTTGAGATAAATTTTATTTCATGTCGTCATTGGAAATTTTGTTATTGCCCACAATTTAGAAAGAGTTTTATTAGAAACCATTGTTATCCCCCATTGTCGATAGTCACAAATGTAAACACAGGTTTTTTAACGATTAGAATTGTACTTTGTTCAAAGCCAGAACCATAAAATGCTGTTTGTGTTTTTAAAATAAATTTTGCACTTTAAATTTAGATAACGTTTTATACTTTTAAGCCTTTTCACATTATGTCACTATAGGTGGACAGTAGCAGTCAAGACCAGCACTGGCATACAACTGGCTTAATATATAAGATAACTAGCACTAATAATCCAAAGATATCCGTGCTGGGACAGTGTAATTCTACTGTACTGGTATCATATTAGTCAGGCATTATACTACAAATTAAAAGTTCGCTGTTATGTTGTAACTCAATAAAGTTTCATTTAAATATTGCAGTGAGAACAAAAATGTTTAAAAGTTCTGTAAACCGACAGAAACCGCTAAATGTTGTATGAAAAGCGTTTTCTGTCCATTTTAATTACGGGCACGTCGGGGTGTGGGTCTGCGAGCGAGGTGGGGCATTAACATGGGTTAAAAGGCTCAATAAAAATATCCGTTGAGGGTTATGAAAATGACATGTAGGATTATAAAATAGCTTAAGGCTTGTGGAATGATGTTTTTTATTCGTTTCGATATTTTTTTTTAAACGAAACGTTACTCTCGTTTTGTTATATTTAAGTTTTGATATAAAACAATTTTCAGATATATCAAAACTCAAAATCTACATATTGTATACATTTATCTTATACAGTTAAAACATTTAAAGTGGTATGAATGTGTTTGAACGTTCTCTGTGAGGTTGGAATTATTCAGCGGGTGTCGAGACACGGCAGCGGCGGCGAGCACTAAACTAGTTATTTCGCAAAGCTACGAATTTTAACATGATGCTTGTTTTCTCACTATGAGATCGGTTAACGAGCTTTGTGGCGCTGATCTTGTTAATAAAGGCATCTACACACGAACTTGTACGATGTTAAATAAAAATACATTTTGAAAACATCAATTAAATGCGGTTAAAATTATTCAATACCAACCGTCTCCGTGAAATTAAAAATTAATAAAAAATATACCTTATGTTACTCACAGATATATAAACTTTCTAACGATGAGAGATTTTTAAAATCGTCCCAATAGTTTTTTGTTATTTCACTATATACAAAAATACAAACCTTTTCTTTTATATACTAGTATAGATAAAGATTTAGTCGTAGTTTCTTTATCAGTTTCATGAATTCAGTGTTGACTCTGTTTGTTTCCCTGAACTCTGTTGTGCTTAGTACAGTCCTGAATATTTTCGCAACATAATTTTTGACTCGATTACTAAGTAATGTTTTTACATGATTATCCCAGCTCCAGGCCGGGCAGGGTTGGCCGCTCCCGGCTCGCCCCGTGACCTACTTGCCCGCACGCGAACCTGCCACATTCAATTTGTTTCCGGCTAATAAATTAAAGATGCCACCTCATGTTTGGGCCATATTCGGCAGTCATTTTTGGACTTGTTTTATATTTTGTTATTTATTATCCTCCGTTTAATGCTTAAATCCGTACAAAACTGTTGCCAATCCCCACATCCTCTCTGGAGAAACTGAGATAGCAAGTTTTGTCAATTCTTTTTTTCTATATCTTTTTTTAATCTATATATGTGTTTGAGTCGCATAAAGAATTAAGGTAAAATTTAAGTCCATGTTTCGTTACCTCTAAGTCATAAACCGTTTACATTCGTATAGCATAAAGGTACGTGTACAGACGTTTTAAGTTACGCTTTGAAAAAAAAATATTTCTTTTGAACGCGACGTCTTTTGGACGCTTCCCTTTTCTTTTGTATTAATTTGCTTGGAGGTCGTTTGCGGGAAATTATGTCGGGATTTTCGGCGCCTTTAGTAGGGGAAGCTGTTATTTAATGTTTTATTGTTTCGGTTTTTTATTTAAGGTTGTTTGATGTTATAATAGAATCCGTCGAAATAAAAATTTTTTAATTATCAAAAACTTTTCAATTGGCCCAATCCGCTGTGGCAGAGCCATAAACAAGAAATAGAATAGAAAACTTTTCAAAAATCAGAGTTGTTGAGGGAATAGTAAAAAAAAAGTAATAGATTATTTGATTTGCCAATATGAGAAGTTAATTGATGACGGCAACCATCATTAACCATATCTAGTTACTAAAAAAATGACGCACTCAGAATTCTTTATTAATCCCTTGAGTAGTCTCTTAGTGTATTTTTTTTTTACACTAAATCAACATTTATTTGATTTATTTTTTTCATTATTTTCATTTTCATGTTTCTTCTGTATGTTATAGGTTATAGTACTTTTGATATCGTTTTTTTTAATCATAGCTAATTTGTTTTAGAGTGGAGCGGTGGCGGTAACGGCGAGTACCGAGTGCGGCGACAGTTATCCGTGTCGTCGGACTCAAAGCTGTTAGACGAAGGTGCGCGGGAGGAGGCGCGGGTCGTGATGCGGCCGAAGCGCCCGCCCAGGCCCAAGTCAGAGGCCTTTCTGGGCCCGCACGAACACAACAGACGCACCAAGCGGTTTAGTGCCTTTGGGGTTAGTAAAATATGTACTAATGATATTCTTGATTTTAGTAAATGCATCTTAACTGTAAGAATATATCTATCTTCGAAGGCTAACAATTAATATGATTAATTACAATCATTACTTATTACTTTTCCTGTATTCAAATTATTTCCGACGTTTAATTTAATATTTTTGGTGTGGTTTAATTTAATATTTTTGGTGGTGGTTTTGGTTTGTAAATGGTGAATGCTCTACGATTTCCTTTTGTCATCATTCGACATTAACTGCATCCTGAGCAGATCTTTTTAATCAAATTGATGCGGCTCCGCTCTCTGGAGGCCGAGGCTTTGAGGTTTAAACGATTATTGAAATTAAACGACGGTACTTTGCCTCCTTTTTATTAAAAAAATATAAAAGTACTGAGTGTAAAAACAGCTAAAAAGGTTGTTTTCGTAAAGTAGGGTGGGATTTGGAGAAAAATTACTTTAATTAATTGTGTTCTGTGTGTGTGTGAATTATTTTCAAATGTTACATAGTAGAAATAAGGTATACAACATAATACAGATTATTATAAACTATGATAAACAATAAATATGTCAAGATTATCTTAATATCCGCATAATGTTTATTATCTAAAGAATTACAAGCTAATAAAACTATTAACATACGTATAACATAATCTGCATTCTAGAATTAATGCGGTAACTAAATTTATAAAGAGATCTCGAGTGTTGCTATTTTAATGTCTCATTCTCAGTACTAAAAACGATTAACGTTGAAGTCGCAATATGAAGACGCTGAAACAAGCTCTTGTTCTTAGGTACAACTTTAGTTGGAACAGACGGAATTATCGTATGTTGTATATGACAGTATAAGCTGTTTTAACGACCCAGTGTGACACCCGAGAGTAATTTATATCATGTTCCGCGTTGCAACTTTCCGCATATCGTAACCGTGGAGCTACACTTCTGTACTTGTTTTTTGTCTCTTTCATTTTGTTTAATCAAACTGAGACTGCAATATGCAAGTAGGATTGTATAGTGCGAGATTCAAAGAGGACTTTTTAATAACTCGTGGGAACTTGTGCAGTTTTTGTCCCGTGTTAACATGACACAAGAATGTGATAATTGTGATTACTGCAGTTGGTAATTGTCAATATTACGTTCCATAACTAATTAGAGAATTTTAAATGACAGGATTGTGTCTTTTTATTTCTATTTCTCTGATAGGCATTTAGTTTTAAAACTGTATTTTATTTGTATAACGATTGTTTAAAGATTACCAATTTTTTTTTTACAATAATTAACTGAACAAACAGTATTTTTCATGATTATTTTCTGTTTATTTGCAATGTTTTGATAATTATACACCTTACTAGAATATTATAAATGTGAAAGTTTGTTTTGTTAAAGTTTGTATTCTATACATAAGATGTACAGGATAATCTTGAAAAAGGGATTTTTTTTTAATTCTACGCGGACGGAGTCGCGGGCGAAAGGTAGTGTTTCTGTATTACCTCTTAGCTTTTCACGCGAGCGAATATAACAGTACCTGTCATATTCTGTGTGAACAATTAATCACGTGTGCTCAGTAGAAATCCTGTGCGGCGCCTCTGAACGCCTGGTACCTCCACAGAGCGAAGAGCATTAGACAAGACAAATATTTACACGTCCGCGACTGCGAGAAGAAAGCAAAACTGTGTACTAGGAGCCCATAAGTGGTGATACTTCACTAGAGTAATCGTTATAAACAACCGCGATGTTGTTTTGTTTCTTTTCTTTGTAACAGACAGTGTTTGCTTTTCTTTGTCTCATTTTTGAAAACCCTATCAGTTTGCGTTTTTAATTTTTTTTTACTGTTACGATTATTTAACCTCGATTATATTTAGTAATCTGTGTAATTTAATGTTAATAACTGGATTTCTCTTTATCGCTTGAATTCACTTTTTGTTTGTTTTCGTGTTGTTAATTATTAGATAAATAATTGGTTTGGTTATGATTGCATTAGAATTCATGCAAAAACATGAGTGAATTTTAAAAATTTAAGGACCTGTCCCACAATTCATGTAAATTGTCAGATAAGGATCCAACGTATAAAGTATGTGATGTAAATATCGGATTTTGGTACTCTGTCTGACAGTGACGTCATTTTAAAGCTATCTGAGTCTTTATCAGCCAGTGGTGGGACAGGCCCTATAACGTATAAATAAACTACGTGTCATAAGTACAAGTTATTACAACTCCAAATATAAGCCAACATGACACCATTAAGATTACTTTAACATAAGTGGATTAACAGAAAGTGTCAATAGTGTAATTTAGATATGGAATATTGTTAACTACCGTCAGCCCTCCATAGCAATGCATAAATCAATAATATCAATTTAGCTAAAACGCCTCTAGTAGAGTCTAAGTGCTAGTATCATAAATTAAGATTAGCGAAGCGTGGCTGTACACTTTTGGACATGATAAATGGGTCGTTTTCTTTGTCAACAGGGTGATTCTCCGTTCGGTAAATCCGAAGCATATATGAAATTGGAGCAGCTCGGTGAGGGTTCCTACGCAACAGTCTACAAGGGTTATAGCAAGTATGTTACGTTTTTTTGGCATACACTGGTTTTTAATTTAATTTGCGTACTGTATCTACTTAGCGTCGGTTTCAATCGTCGAAAAATTTCATTGTTTCATATAATGTTAAACGTGCATTAATGCCATTTTGGACTTGTGAACAATTATGTCAGTGAAAATGAAGTGAACAAAAGCATAAAGCTTTCATCCGAAAGCTCGAACGACGTAAATCACATGCATAAACAACGGACAAGTTGTTTCTTTAAAACTTACATTAAAAGTCTTTGAGATGAGAAATATAATTGAAAAAGCTTTTAAGCGTGAAACACGCGTGAAATCAGATTTACTTTGTAGCGAAAGATCGTGAGTACGTAGACGTGAGTTTTGCATAGTAGACTATTGCAAAATGTTTGTTGTAAAAGGAGGTCTGAGCGATCGCAGTGCAGCCGATGCATCTAGAAACGTCGAGAGCTTGCGATGGTAAAAGCTGCCCGCGACTATTAAAGCGAAAACTGCGACAAGCTTTGTATATGTACAAGAAAATTTAAAATAGATACAACGAAATTATTCTTGTCTAGTCAAATGTAATGATAAAATCATTAAACTATGGTATTATTGGAGGGAAATTAGCGAATCCTTGAATAGATATACCACAATATATCTCCTTAGTTTTTTAGTTTTTGTATTTTTCGTAGGATCCAAGATTTTATTTAGGGACTTGATATATTTTTACCACAAATGTGGAATCAAAAATCTTTGTATAGTTTTAAAAATGATACAACTGTAATAAAGAAATAGTGTTTGGAATAATCTGCGGTCGTTTATCATACGTTAGCAGGGGTGCCGCGAAAAACGTATCTAAGAATAACTCACATCTATTCAAGTCAAAGGCGAATTTAATATGCTGTCATTCGCCACAAAGCCGCTCCACAAACTTCAACATGGCTATGAATACGAGAATTTGGTTAGTAGAACGGCCTCATTAACACTCAGCGGAGGCAATTCCCGGTTCGGGCTATGAATTCTCTAAATTCTATTATCTCGCCCCCTTTCCTTTACACTCGTTGAGTTAGACGTCAAGCGCTTCCCGTGTTAGGCTTAACTCGAACTCTCAATTATTTAGTAAATGCTTTGTCAGTAAATCCGTAGTAAAGAGATCACAAAATGTATTTTAAACATGAAATACGTAAGTTTCTTTACAAAATAATCTTCACTAAGTCGAGTAAAATCCACAGTAATCGCTTGTAAATACTTGTAATTGAGTGATTAACGCTTTACCAACTTTATACGATTAAAGGAAAGTTAGTGAACTGTTTGCGTCGAACCTTTACGAGCTTCGATTAGGAACTTTTATCATAGTGTTGGCGCGAAATGTTTATTAATTACTCGATTTAACTTCAATCACTTTACCTTTATGATATCGAAATCTATTTACAATTAAGTTTTTATTTTAATGATTGAAATGGTAAGGTCGACAAATATCGTGAATAACACTTGGCTTTTGTTTAGATCAAAACATAGAAACTTTTCTTTTTATTTGTAGAAGTTTTTCAAGTATAACATGTTGGTACAAGACAATATTTCTAAGACTGGACCACAAACTAACGCAAGCATACCAGTAGTGTACAATTAGTTCTTAGTGCTTGAGTGTATTAGGCTAATTGAATTATTGTTTCCAGTTTAACGCAACAGGTTGTGGCGCTAAAGGAGATAAGACTGCAAGAGGATGAAGGTGCGCCGTTCACCGCCATCCGCGAGGCCTCGCTCCTGAAAGAACTGAAGCACGCGAATATCGTCACGTTACACGATATTGTGCATACGAGAGAAACACTCACATTTGTCTTCGAGTTTGTGGTGAGTTTACATTTTGTAGTAATCTGGATAACACACAAATGTGTTGCTGATAACGAAAATCTCACTTAAAATTTATTAGTCTGTCTCTGTATCCGCAAGCCGCGTTTGTTCCAGTTAATCCCCGAAACGGCTGGGCCAAGTTTCGCCCGGACTTTCACTGAAGGGTAGCTGACATAGACGGGCGTATTATAGGCTACTTTTTATCTTAATATTTCGTGGACGAAGTCGCGGGCAACAACTAGTCAATAATAAAAACGATTAGAATTGTTTTTCTCTGCTTTTGTTTTTCATTTTTAAATAAGCAATTTTGTATAGATTTATAAACACTTTTGTGAATTGTTGAAATCTTTATTTTCGGTAGTTACGTTAACTAGAATGTATACAAAATTGAACCCTATCGTGTACTACATTAGAGTGATTGTATTGTGCAGGACACGGACCTATCCCAGTACATGGAGAGGCACCCCGGCGGCCTCAACCATCACAACGTGAAACTGTTCATGTTCCAGTTGCTTCGAGGACTCTCATACTGTCATAGAAGACGAATATTACATAGGTGAGGAAACACAAACTGCTTTCTAGTATTATTTTAATACACTCAAGAGCATTGAATCCGGGTCACTTAAAATATTTAATAAACTGAAAATGCCTTCTTAATGTAATAAACAGCGTTTTAAAGACATTATTATATCCCTTAAATTAAAATAATAGTATTTATAAAATGGTACGTTTTATTGGTTTAAAATGACATAAATAAAAACTGGTTATCTGGCCTTAATGCGAAAATAAAATAGTGACATTTTTATACAATGTGTTTTTTTTTAATTTTTTTTTAAATTCCAATTTGTTTGTGTTGCCTTCTCGTGTTTCTATTACTGTATGAGGTTTAGTATACCACCAAATTTTTTGTACGATTTTCGTTGATAATCTGCCATTTCTCTGAAAAGAGAAACCAAGATGTATTAATACTTTAATTCAAAGAGTATTTATTTGTCTATTAGACACCGTTCCTTTTCTTAAGCTAGCATCCTTAGTTTACAATATTTATATTTTTTTTGTTTCAATTGACCCGGATTCAATGCTCTTAAGTGTATTTAGCTCATAGTATAATTTTATAATACGAGAAAATAATCTGTCAGTCCTTGTGTAATTTCGTGTAACTAACTTTGTTTTGTAACAGGGACGTCAAACCGCAGAACCTCCTAATAAGCTCTCACGGTGAACTGAAGTTGGCAGACTTTGGGCTCGCGCGCGCCAAGTCCGTGCCCAGCCATACGTACTCGCACGAAGTTGTTACACTCTGGTATAGACCGCCAGGTAAGATACTACCACTTTATGTCGCTCTCAGAAACATTAAGCAGACCCTTAGCAACAGACTTAGGTGACTGTTACATTTTATAATAATTTGACATGATTTTTATGACTACGACTTTATGACTGTAAGATTTTTATTAATACTAGCTTTCGCCCGCGATTACGTCCGTGTGGAATCAAAAACAAAAGTGTATAGCCTCTGTGTTCTTCCAGACTGTCTATGCCACATTTCATCTAAATCCGTAAAGACGTTTAAGGTACAAACTCTATTAAACATCCATCCATCTAAACTTGTGTATTTATAATATTAGTAAGATTACCGGATATACATTTAGTTTTGTTTATAGGAGGTTGAAAAAACGAAAATTCAACTATTAGTTCAACCTTACGCTTATAATTAGCAAATAATCAGTCTTGAATATTTGCTTTATCATAAATGAAATATTTTACTTTGCAAATTTTTCGCATTTCAAAATAAAATCTTGAAACGCTCGTTGAATATAAACGTTATCTATCTTGATTTATCTCAAAGCGATCGGTAAACTGTAAATAATGTTTGCCGGCGATCAATGATAACTTACGACTACAAGTCGCTGACACTTAGAGCGATCGCTTCCAAGAAAAATCGTTCACTCTTATGCATTTTTTAATAAATTTATCTTACTTTTTCGTTTAAACTCTAGAAGAGTAAAATTCAAACAAAACAACTATAAAGTCTCAAAGATAAAACTTGATGTAAACATGATTCATTTAATTATTTTAGAGGAGGGAATCTGTAGTGGAATTTTATAGTGGATTAAATAATTGAATATAATTAATAATAAATAATAGTTAAATAATTAAATCTAACTTTTATTACTTTTCTTTTCAGGAGTAAAAAATCTTACACCATTAGAAAGATAATTTATCTATAAGCAACATAGGCTTGTTAAACATAACAGCCTATGCCCGTGAAATTAAAAAAGTAATTTTTTTTTTTAATTTCACGGGGTCATAGACATATTTTCATTTAAACTCCAAGAAATGAATATGTAAATGTGTGTATGCAGACGTGCTGCTGGGCAGCACGGAGTACTCGACGTCGCTGGACATGTGGGGCGTGGGCTGCATCTTCGTGGAGATGCTGTGCGGCGTGCCCACCTTCCCCGGCGTCCGCGACACGCACGACCAGCTCGAGAAAATATTCAAGGTATATACT